CTTTATTATTTTAAGGAAACGATATCAATTTTATTGGAAGCACATCAGCAGCCCCTAGCTGCTGGTGGTACTGCCCTGACATCTGGTATATCCTTTTCTCCCCAAATTCCAAAATCCATTGCCAATAGTAAGGCAAAAGATGGATTATTCAGCAGGGGTTGAGGAAGGGGAGAAGAAGGAACTATAATCCATGCTGCTGGGGTGATTAATGTGACTGTTTATGGTGAAGGAAATGAAAACTAGAAGTCTGGGTAAGTAATGATCTTCCCAATGAATTTCACCGGAACCGCAGTGCAGACCCAGGTGCTGACCTCCTTCACATTATTCCTCAAGTTTTCAGAACCAAGGAGGAATGGCACCAAAAGTTTTACTGTCTAGATTGCTCCCAGGAACACAGGATTTTCCAGCAGTAGCAGGAGGGGGCTTCACTGTGGGATGCACATATGCCATTACAGCTCTTTAACATCAGAGTGCTTTGGTGGTAGGTTTTGAGTGAAAGGGCTTAAGAGACACATTTAGCACTGTCCATTAAGCATGGTGAGCTGGCAAAAGGCTTCCTTTGCATTCATTGCCTTGCACGTTGCTGTGCAGGCTGAGTGCTCAGTGGGAGGAACGGTATTTTTGATGAAGGTAAGAGCTTCTGGAGTTTTGGGAACATCAGTTATCTATTTGCCATCCATCTTTGGCTATGGTACTTACCTGACCTCAGTTATTACAGTATGTAACTGCTTCACAACCCTCATCTATTTACCTTTCCATTCTCCTTGTGGAGCTCGGAAGTGCAATTACCTCTGTTGCAGAACTAAGTACGATTAAGGGTCAGATTTGCTATGGTATTTAGGTACTCAATGGGATTTTCTGAAGTACCCAACACCTGGTGTACTAAGTGGATCTTAGGCTTCTTCAGTAGTTGTGAAAATCCCATTACTTGCATTCTTTGAAAAATTTTGGCTCGCTTGGCGACCTGGGAGCTATAAGAAAGGTTTCCATGGTCATCGCCCAGACAAGAGGTTGTAGGTAGGACAGGAGCAAACTTCTGGCAGTAGCAAAATCATTTTATCTCAGTTGTGAATTCATCAGGTTTGGAAATAGGTGTAACTGTGCATAGCAGTGAACCTCCTCTACTTGCAAAGCTCTGTCAGAGAGGTCCTCAAGACAGTGAAGACAGTGGAGCAAAAATAAGCAGTGCCTGTGGTCAATAAGAAAGAGCTTATGAGCCAATTGGTGGGATGGAAATTCAAGAGCAGGAGCAAATAATGAAACAATCTATATTCATGCACCTTTGCAGCCTACGGCTGTAAGTACAGGCTTACACCTAGACAGGAGATGTGAATCTGCTGAAAGCTCCAGAGTATCCTAGTGAAAAACAAATGTTGATTTTGAACAAATTATCTGTTCATCGCGAAATCATTTTCTTTCATTATTAGTCTTCAAATTGGTTCTGCTCTGGAAGGCAGAATTAGGTTTAAAAGCAGAGTGTCTCTTAAATGCTTGCTTCAAATGAAAGTATTCGGTAAACATTTCTCAAAGCTCCTAGAGCATAAACTCCTCAACTCCTTTCTGGGGCTTTGCATGGATTTTTCAGCTCGTGATTTAAAGACAGATGTTTCAGGGATTCATTCAGGAAACAGAAAATAATCAAATTAAGCCCCTTGCGTTCATATGCCCCTCTAATGCCAAAGACAATTTTATCAGAACCTTTTTGTCCTTGCTTTCAGTAGCATAAACTGGGACAACTGTCCCATGCAGACAGGAGATACTGCTGTCAAACAGGGGTAGAAGAGTGAGAAGAATAAAATTCTGAACTCACAGTACAAATTCTACACAAGGTGCAAGCATACGATTCTTATCGCTGGAAGAGCTGCCTGTTGCTGTTAATTTAAAGTTCTTAAAAAAAAAAAAAAAAAAAAAAAGCTCTGGGCTTCAAAATGATACTTTTAACATTAAAAGGATGGGGTTTGGTTAATTCAGCATGTCAGCAAGATTGCAACTGCCTGAGCCAGTAATTCAGGAGAAAAAGAATTAGATTTGGCTCAGCTAATCTTAAGAAAGACACGTGGTTCTGCAAAGAGCAGAACCCCAGTGCTATGTGATGGTGCCATGTTACACCATGGGCTATCAGGAGATGCTCGAGAAGGACCTCCATAGTGCAAGAGGAATTAGGATATGTATAAAATTGCATGGGCTTCATCAATGTTTTGAAGATACTGTTCTCCTGCCTGTAGGATTCCACTGGTTGGAGGATGGAGGACAACTTGTGCCCTTTGTTAGATACGAAAAGAGAATAAAACTGGGGGGCAATGTTGTCTAACAAAGTTCTTGGTGCTTGTTTGCTTATTCAAAGCAGGAATTTAGCTGAGTTTGATGTAACAAGGACTTGTGTGCATAAGGAAGGTTCTGGAAGTAGAATGTCCCCTACTGTTCATTGCAGGAGAGTTAGACTGGATGACCTTTAAGAATCTCTTCCAACTCAGACGTTTCTAAGATTCTATGATTCCATGATCCCCCAGCATGGGAAGCTATTTGTTAATTCCCTGTTCCTTAGATCTCTCCAGTACAGCACTGGTGTGGGAGTGGGAGACTGTTCTCATAAGGGGCAGCAATTGAATGCTGTTGCTGTATCTGAGTTTACTTGCACTGTGGTCTCTGATCAGTGTTTTGCACTTAGAAAGTTTATTTGTTCTTGGCCAGAAGAGTTACAAGATTAACAGATGAACAAATGTTTTGAGACAGCCAAGGTGTGAAAGAAATTGAAGCCACTGAGATAGAGCTGAAGAGCCACCTGGCCATGGCTCTCAGGAATTATTTTATCCTCAGATTAGCTCAGTTGTTTTGGGGATTGGGCATGTCCTCTAGTCAATGTAGCCACAGTGACTTAAGACTTTCCTGGCCCCAGATCTGTTCCTCCTCTGGAGGATTCTGGAGCAGCAGCAGTGGGACACAACGTGTGCCCACATCCTACAGCCCAGATCCTGGGGCTGAGTGCGTGTGGAAGGTCCTTAGCACTGGGGGCTGTGCCACCAAAGGTGAGAGCTGTGAATGGCAGAAATCCCCAGTGAAAATGTGGGGCAAGCAGTACGTTCACCCACCATAATGAAAGCCACCAGAATGCATGTGCCAGAGCACTGGGGCTTTGTGCTCTGACTATTTTTACCAGAAAGGAATTCTAACAGATACTAGAAAGGCAGTTATTGCAATTGGAAGGTCAGAGAGGTTCTTATATGAGGTAACACTATTTAACGTCAATCATTCTTTGCAGGCTTTTTCTCCACCATGCCATCTGCGATTCAATCAGGAAAAAGTAAAAGAAAAACAAGTAGCAGCAGCCACCTTAACCTTTGGTTCCTTGTGCAGGGAACAGCCACGGGCTGACACCAGCAGAGGGATCAGAAGAAGGCTTATGTGGGAGGTAACTTCCCTCTGGAGAGCAAACAAAAAGCAGCTCAGGATGGTTGTGCAGAGGATGGGAACCATGAGGCTGTGCTCAGTCTGTGCCTCATTTCTCTGAGATTTAGATTGAGTTGAGTCAGCCAGGAAATCATGAGCGAGTTTGAGCTCTTAAGAGAAAGGTGTTTGAAACCCAACAACTTGAAGACACCTGCAAGAGGGAGGGTCATAACTTGGAAAGTGCCACACGGAGCTGTGCCTCTGCTTTATTGAACTGTTGGCTGCAATAAATACGACCAAACTCCCTCAGTCTCTTGTAATGTTTTCTTAGTACCAGCAGGAGTCCATTTAAGAATACAATGACTTGCACAAATGATTCTATATGAGGAGAAGAGAAACAGCTAAAGTACTGCTTCAGTAATGCAGTCAAGTCCTAAAAGATGCCCAGGAGATCTGGGTGGGTGTGTGCATCCTCGTGCTTTGGTTTTGTCACTATGGTCATTGCCCAAAGCACCCCAAGCAGAGGATCTTTTGTTCAAGTTGTCCTTCTGGCTTCAGCTGGTGAGATCACAGTTGAGATTTGCTGATGGTGCAGAAAGTTAGCTGTGATAAAGTCAATAGGGAGGAATTGCCAAAGAGGGAGAAATGGTTTTTTATTGTTATTTTCAATACAGAAAGTAATGAGAGTCTGTTTTATAAAGAAGGGACAAGTACAATACAGGACCTATGAATGAATAATCAGACAGAAAGACTGAACCTTGCACTTCCAGATCTTAAAGCATTAACCTCAATTGCCTGAAATGAAGTGTTTGGCTGTGTTAGCCAGAGCTGTAATGGGGTTGTCGGGTCTCCCTCACATAACCACAGTTAGGAGGGGTCAACGCACTGGGAGGCTGCTGCTGTGAGTGCTACAAAGAGAGCACAGCACTGGAGACCTGGAACTTGGGGGATTTCCATCTTTTTCTTTTGTTCATTTTCTTATGTCATTAAACCTTTAAATACTTCACGTTACAGGGCATCAGAATGAATTTACTCCTGCTTAGCAGTGCTTTGAGAAAGAAAAGTGCTTGTGCTTCCTGTGTAGCTATCCTGCTTTGCTAATATCCTCCGTTAGTATTCATTAGTTACAAATCTGAGCTATTGCATGAGGGAGTTAATCACGGTGGAAGCTTTATTGCACCTCACTTCTCGTTACAGCATTTACAGCTCAGCAAAGCTGATGTGAAATGCTGGCAGATTGGATTTGTAGACTCTTTACCACATTCAGTTGGATATTAGGAAAGATTTGAGTACAGGCTGCTCAGGGAGGTGGTGGAGTCACCGTCCCTGGAGGTTTTCAGGAAGAAGGAGGATGTCACATCGAGGGATGTGGGTTAGTGGGCATGGAGGGAGTGAGTTGGGGTTGGAGTAGGTGATCTTAGAGGTTTGTTCCATCCTTAATGATTCTATGGTTGCAGGTAGTTTCTTTCTGCTGGCTGAACCAGCTGTAAATCTGAACTTCAGGTGGTGCCAGGCTGCCTTGCAGTGTGCACTCAGACTGTTCAAGACCACAGCCCAAGGTTACACGTGAATCCTCGGCACTCCAGGCTCAGTAAGACCCTTTTCTCTTGCAGACTGGAGTCACCCACACGCGCACTGGTGATGGAGGCTCCAAAGGGCATCGAGATCAACGCTGAGGCCGGCAGCTTGAAAGCCACGTGCAGGACAGAGCTCAGGCTGGAATCCAAAGATGGAGAGGTAAGCAAAGAGCGTCAAGCTTTCTGGCAAACACAAACCAAGGTACAGATCTCTGCAGATTTATAACCTTCCCATTCACTTAGTACTTGAAAAACAAGTTTTAAGTCGCAGGACCATGATTCTATTCTAAAAGCACTGGTGAAGCCTTCCTAGCACAGGTTCTGCTAGCAGTGATTGAACACATCATATGCAAACAAGGCTCACTCTGTGGAGAAGGCTAATTCATTATTTTTAAAGTGCTCGGATAATAGCATCTGTGGTTCAGGCAAATTTATACAGCAGTAAAGTACACAGCGCTCCTAAATTCTTTGTTTCCTTGTCACTTTAAAGCAGGATTTACGTGTCCAACATAATTAAGTCTTTTATCATACATATTTTCTATGAGAAGAGCTTAATTCACCCGTATTGATCCGAAAAGCTTTTATAGCTGATGTTTTCATTTTGGAAAGAATGTGAACATTAGGAGACACAGGGTGTTGCAATGGGAAAACTTCTAAAGGGAAAGAGAGAATAACTAAAGCTGATAAGAGAACAGAAGTAAAAGAGGTGTTGAGTTAAACCTCTTCTGGTGTCTCAGGAGAGTGTGCACATCCATTCTCATCCCCTCCTTCTGCCACAGCTGTGGAAGACACTGAAGGATGTGGATGATGGGAACCCAAGGAGAGCCTCATTGGAGGCCTCCCATAGGATATGAGATCTGGTACGGCCTGCTGTTTTCCTATCTTAGTGTCCTCAGTGATTCACAGATTGAGGTTCTTATTGCGATTTCTGTTATTTCTAAACATTTGCATTTTAAGATATTCCAGATCCCCCTGGCAAGGAGTTTAAAACAAAACAAAGTAAAACAAAAATAGCAATAAAACTCTTAACTAATATACTGCAATTGAAATTCAAGGCATTTCATGACTGCAAGCAGTTGCCTTCATGTTTTTTAATGCTAATTTTGCTCTTTCAGGCAATTAGATGGCTGGATACTAAAACAGAAGTGATCTTTACTGTAATCACAAGATAAGTGTCAGTTGCCCTGTAATATTCTGGGCTGTAGGTTATAGAATCCTATAGAATGACTATAGAATAGTCATTTGAGTTGGAAGGAGCTCTTAAAATCCATCTGGTCCAACTCCCCTGCAATGAGCTGGGGCAACCACATCTCCACCAGGTTATCTTAGCATGCTTTTCTCAGTCATGTTATAAAATTTCCCTTTATGTTCAGTTTTATAAGAAGAAATTTAGATCTGTTATGGCTTTTAAGAAATTTTTAATATACATAATAATAATACACATAAAGGTGTTACGTGTACACATAAAGCACAGATAAAAATGAGTGCTGTGAGTCTTCAAACATGACTAGAAATGAGAGCAGAGCGCCAGAAGTCCCAACAAAGGAGAGGGGTCATCACTGCATGGAGGTGATCCAAACGTGCTGCTCACCAAGCAATGAGGGCACTGCCATCACACTCCTGGGTGATGCAGGACACACGCTGGTGTCCCAGGAAGTTATAAGCCAAGGAAACGTAAACAAACAGAAAAAGAGTGGAACCAGTCTCATGGTAAACTCACAGACATGGATGTCAGCCTTTCCCCAGCTTTGCACACTTGGCTGCCCAGTTTTTGTAGCAGCTCAGTTGTCCAGAAGAGGCCTCCTCAAAAATAACAGCTCTTCACTAATCCTTTCTCCTTTTTTCTTTCTCCCCTCCTCCGACTTCAGATAACATTGAATTCTGCAAAAATCAAACTACCTAACTTGCCTCAAGGATCTTCCTCTTCTGCAGGGTCCAGGCAAAAAATCTACGAGCTCTGTGTGTGCCCCAATGGGAGGTTATTTCTGTCTCAGGCAGGCACTAGTTCCACCTGCCAGATAAATACAAGCGTCTGCCTTTGAGAGACAATTTGCAGTGGGGCATCGCAGGCAGCACAAAAGCCAATTCTGGTCTCCTAGGTTGCAGCTGCCAACTATTTTTACTAGAACACAGAAAGCCTATCAAAGACTTTTTTTGTGTGCGCGCGTGTGTGTGAATATATATATAAAAAAATATATATATATAAAATTATATATATCCTCTGTGTAAAATGATGTTTCAGTACAAGGAATCCCAGGGTGACCCTGTTACATTTGTGTAGCATTTCTCTTTCCCACACCAAAATTTACTGGTACAATCTACTGAATTGGGCTTCATGCTCCCCTGGACCCTTCTGTAATAGTACAGTCTAATGATCACCCCTTGTTTTTGACCATGTTCTAAGAGTAGTGGGATTGCTGAGCCCGGAACCAATGTAGACCCACCAACATACTAAAAGAAGAGTAGCATCTCTGATTATTTTTGCACCACTATACCAGTGGCATGAGGAAAACAGAACAGCCAGATGTGCTCTACTGCTTGCCTAGAGTGATCCAAGACACTTGGGGTTAAACTGCACTCTTTAATTTTCACCTTCTCAGCTCCATGGCTCCATGCTGGGAGAGATGGGTTGCACTTTGCCAATAGAGAAGTCCTAATCTTGCTGAATTACTTTCTCAAGGACTCTGATTCTTGCCTGTACCTCTAATGAATGCCTTGTGCTATTCAAATGTCACACTCAGCTCTAACCCCAACCTGAAGTCATCTCTGGGCTAACAAAATTAGCACTGTATTTGTTCTTGATAGGAAAAAAAGTTATGAAAATTGGACTAGAAGAGAAAAATCTTGAACCAGTTTAATTAACAGGTGTCCTGGATTACCCTATGCAACCTCTATTACCACCTTTAATTTTGAAGTGATCTAACATACCTGAGAAGGTGTAAGATTTGGAACTTACCCACCAACACCTATAGAAACAAAGAAAATCACCTGTTGAATTTCTGTGTTTCTATGGGTTTATCTGGATTTGATGTATAATATCTATGCTATGTTAGAATTTTTGTCCTCTTTCTATTCGGGAGACACAGTCCAAGATCACATACATTTTGTGGAGGTTGCAAAAGTCAGAGATGCTGACAATGAAATAGATATTTTTTTAAGACTCTAGAAAGATTCTGACAAATTCAGATTACTGTGAAGTGAAGGCTTTGGATGCTGGTTCCTCTAGAATTCCAGCCCCAGAATCTCTGTGGTCAGATCTCTTCACGGGTGTGTTTTTCTTACTGAAGTCAAGGAGTTACTTGAAGGCAGGATAAACCATAAATCTGATCTGGTGACGTTACCAGTGATTAACTTTTGAGGAAAAAAAAAAAAACTGAAATGAGTCCAGATCTTTTAATTTTGACCCATAACTGCATCCACATGCATGTAAAAACCGTTTAGAAACCAATGTACTAATAGTGCAAAAGGGTTCAAGTCACAGTAAATCTCATGAGGACAGCAAGGTTTCTACACCACTGAGATGCTACTGAAAATATTGCCTCATGTGCAAACATGGCAGATCTGTGCCCATTCCTAGCAGTATCTGAGCAAAGCTGGTATTCTTCAAGCAATTTTCAAGATACAATGTCACTGATGGTAATTTGTAGAAATAATTTAGCCCTTTCCTTTGGAACATATTTCCGCATGTTTTCATGTGGTCTGAAAAGTACCAGGGTTTGATGTTCTTAAATGATTGATTCTAGCCTGATCCCAAACTGGCTGGACTCAATGGGAAGATATCCATGGCATTTTGATTGGATGTTGCTTCCCAACAAAGCAACGCTCCCATAAAATTTATTTCTGAAAGAGGATTGAGTTATCTACATATATATCTCTGATGCTTTCAGATTAATGAACAAATTCAAATTATTTGTTAATGAATTATTCCTGTAATTATTATCTTGAGTCAATGTTCGAATGCAAAGGGTCACCCAGGATAACAATTGTATTGGGACACAGGACTATACCATCTCTGTTCAAAGAGGGGAATTGTGCCTATGCCTTAAGTCAATGCACTCAGCAAGGAGAAGCACATCATATTTATCTTGTTATAAAAACTAGTTTATTTGGGGGGAGGGACAGGAGGGTGTCTTGGGAAATGGTTGTGCAACTTAAAACAGATATTAATGAAATGTATTAAGACTGTAGGGGCACCGAGAGTGACAACTGTTGTTTTTTTTACCACGTTAAATATAGCAAAATACTGTGTATGTTACCTCTGGGATCACAAGTGAAGTCCCATTCATAGTCCTACATTTTCTATAGATTTTTTTCCCTGTTTCATTTAATACTGGTCACACAGGCATTGTATCAAGCATGGCCCAATTCATAAACAAATCCCATGTTTGCAAGCACGAGTGGTTGTGAAGATGCATGCTGCAGGAGGTACATCATGTACAGAAAACAAGTTGGGTTAACTTTTCCTTCCCTGAAGGTACCAGTGCCAGTTGGTAGCATGGGGCTGAGCACAAGGAGTGGCCCAGGGGGGATACTGTGTCCAAATCCTTTACTCTGACCCCCAGTGCCCGGTGGTCAGTCCTCATCCCAAATACCCTTGGGCTGCTCTGCAGCAATTTCACTTTGATCTGATGGTCTTTTCCATTGCGGTCTTGGATGAGATGAGCACCCTCATAACTTGGGAAGACCATAAGATTGCTTAAGAACGTTAATTCTGGTATGACTGTCTGCAGGGGAGCTGTTAGAGAACAGCCTTACACCTCTGTGCCACTACTGTTTTCTGCAGAAAGTGAACAATGGGTACCTTAATTATGCCTAGGTAAAGGAGTTCAATATATTCTACCATTTTGTCTCCATTTTTAAAAGTGTAGAATGATTTTCTCTGTGCATGGAGACTGAACCCATGCAGAGACTTGAAAAACATTTGACCCTCACTTCAGTTTTAAGACCACAGTTCAGATGATGCTGCTTGATCTTGAGTTGGCCATGTGAGTAATCCTCTGCTGTTCAGTGAGTGGCAAACCAAGGCAAGCAGGTTTGCATCTATGAGAGTCCAGGGGAAAGATTGCATTTTTGTTTAAAAAGCAGCATGCAGTCACATCCAGCCACCTCACAGTTCATAGTTTGTTCTCTGGGGACAGTTGTGGTGTGACTAACTCACCTGCTGGGAGAGGCAGATGATTAAGGTTCGGTTTTCCTCCTGCCTTGTTCAGAAACCACTCACAATTGCTTTACCTGTATGGGTTGGTTTTCCCTGAGTGCAAAGTAAGTCACAACATCCCTGTACATACACTCTACCTGCTGTTGATAAATGCCAAAAACAATTAAGGGTTTGTGTATTTCTTTATGAATTGGGCCTGCAGTTTAGTTCAATTGAGCATTTGCTATGAGGGGAGATGGCATTTATCTCAAATCAGAGTTTAGTTTTACCTCTCAACTAAGGCAAGGCAGGGGTGGGTGGTGAATTTGTTCATGCTGAGCCCAATGGAAGAGATGCCAATGTCTTCGTGGCCTGAGCTAAGGCAGGAGCCTGATGGGTGAGAATTCAGGGCACTAATGCCAGAGGAAACAGTGCCAGCAGCTGTGGTGGCTGTGGAGCTGAACTGACTGCACCGTGTGGGGTCCTGCATTGCAGCTATGTGCATTGCAAACATTGAAATGCTAATCAAGAGACTGTGATACTAGTGTCAATGTCCCTTAGGCAACCAGATAAAGATAAATGCTTTTATGTGTTGTAGCTCTTAACTTTACAGGGTTTTGGGACCTTGTTAAATTTGCTTTCAATGCCACACTTCAGTACTGACTGTCAGTGTTTAGCTGTACACCAGTACCTTATGCATATGTCATGTATGACCCTTCTGCTGTAAAGAGTTGGGAGGGCGGGTGTGAAGTAAAAAGATTTTGCCATTAGCAAAATCAGAGATCCTAATACCAATGGTACAACCACATGTGTTCTCCACGTACCTTTGCTTTGGTTGACTTTTAAACTTTTTTGAAGTGTGTTACCTGGTAGTCAGTGAAATGGGTGGCTGTAGAGTACAAAGATATGTAAAAATGAAAGAAAGTCATTGAAAAGGGGAGGCCAGTAACTGTGAAAATAGGTGTGTGACCTCTGTAGGTATACATGTTTAGAAAATGAAGTGATGTGTATTTGTTTCTCTCAGTCACATGCGGTCAAACACCTGGATTTTAAGAGTTTGTTGGTTTTTTTTTCCCCTCATTTAATCACAAGTATCACAATGCACAAAGAAAAAAGCTTAAGGCATTCACCTAGCAGTCCTACCTGCAGTACAGCAAAACAATATCTGAATCAAGAACCCCCCCCTCTAGAAACTACTTGAAGGCTGAGCAGAGATTCCTATGGAAACCTGTGAATAATCTGGTCAGTTTGCATCATACCTAGTTTGCAGTGACAGGTGGTCTTGGAAGAGATTAACTTTTGTTGTCATAGCATACATGCACAAACACATATATACATGGTTAGCTGCATTTGTTTACAACAAAAGACATATTTTCTTTATTTGCAGTTATGGCTTTAAGTTTCACATTGCAAAAGACAATGAGAAAAGACCAAAGATTACAGAAATTAATCCTTTCTCTGGTTGCCCTCACACCTGAAATGCATTAACTTTAATGGTGCTTTTTGGAACTGGGCAGGAAAAACACAGGTTTATCACATAGATGCATGTGAGAGCATACAGCAGCAGGAAGCCTTTAATTTCCTTCATGGAGAGGAGTGAAAATAACCTGGAATTCTTTAGGTGTGTACAGAAGGTAAGGTTACCTGGAAAGAGAAACGTGAGAAAATAACCTAAACGTTAAGAGAGATCATCCTGGGCTGAAGGTGTAACTCAACTGAGGAAATGTTGGTTGCTGGCTGTGCACTCGAGCATCAGCAGATGAGGATGCTGGTAGGACACACCAATATACAACCAACAATAGCACCAATAGCACCAACAATAGCAGGATGCTCCCGTGAAAACATCCAGATCTTCAGTCCTTGGAATTCACAGTCACCCTGCTCAGTGAAGAAGAGAAACTGTGCTGAAATAATTTTATTATAAAGAGCATGCCATAAAACCAAGAAAATCTGGGGCTGTTCTGTTTGGCTGATGGGTTTTTTTGTCTTTCTTTGTTGTTGTTTTTTTTAATGTCTGGCATTTTAAATTTGCAAATGTCATCATCCAGAACTCACCTGAACAAATGCAGGGAGCGCTCCTGTCAAGCTCTGGCAATCAGGAATTGGTGCTCCTCAAATGAACACAGCAGCGCCTTCATTCCCATTGCCCTTCTTGTTGAGGAATGCAATCACTGTAACATTTCCATTTTCCCCATTGTAAGCTTTTTCATCAGCTCTGAAATTGCTGTGTAATATTTCAGTGGCAGTATTTCTGCATTAGGGTGGCCTGCAGCCCCCAGTGCCACCTCACACCTCCAAATACCCAAATCAACAAGCATGGGGCAGCAGCACTAAGGTGAAATTTAGGCCTTTTAGGTAAATTCTGCGCAACAGCTGCAGTGTTTTCACAGCTGATGCAGCCAAGTCTACAGCTGTGGCTGAAGCAGAGCTGAACACTGATGTGGCTCTGATGAGATTATTCAGAAGGAGAAGAGTGCATTATGGAAGGTGGACAGGAGGGAGAGGGAAGAAATGGCTAGAGACATCACCTTAATCATGGTAATGCAGCAAACTTCTTTGTCTGTTTACACTGTTATACATTAAATTAATAACATCCATTTCACTAAATATGGTAGCAGTTATGTTTGATCTTCCCTGGTGCACAGTGGAATTACTTCAATGGAAGCACTTACAGCTTGGGCTGCTTGAGATGGCCAAGGTGTTGTTTCCATCCACAATAACCACAATGGCTTGGGGCTCGGATGGAAATTATAGTGAGTGGCTTGCGTTTAGAAAGCTTTTAAATTTACTGTGCTTGAGAAGCACATGGTTATGCACAGAGAGCCCCAAGGCTTTATCATTTAAAACTCTCTTGTCCTGCCACCTGAATTGCGTCGTGTCCACATGTAAAGGGACGCACTTCTTTATACAGGAAAAGATGGATATTTTAAACTGTGGGATTTATATCCTGAGCAACGAAGAAAGTGTGATCATAGTGAATTGCTGAGATTTCCCATCCAAGTCACATTAAATCAGAGATGCAAGTAAGTCAGTCCCTTAACTTGCTGATTTGCTAAAGATGTTAATTTCTGCAGGAAAGTCAGCCCTGGTGTCACGTCCAGGAAAAGCCTCACCTCGGTGCAGCTCATTGCCATGCCACAGCTGGATCTGGAGGCTGGGTGGGTGGCAGTGGGCTCCTGGCTCAGGGGGCAGCCAGATTTCCTTTGAGGCCACCATCTCCATGGACAGAGTGAGTGTTTGTTTGGTTTAACTAGTGTTAAAAAGTAGGAAGGATGTCTCCACTGTGGAGCAATACACAGTTGTGTATATCTGTCATTCAGTTGGCCTGAGCTTTCTGACAGTAAATGTCAGAAAGAAATTTGTGCAAAACCCTTAGGTTTATTTTTCTCTCTGTTCCCAAATGTTTTGAGTAACAACGTGTGACCTTAGTAAAAAGGTCTTTGTTTTCTCAGATTAAAAAAGACACTGCCAACCTTTCACCAGGTCCAGCCCAAATTGAACCTCACCCTTTCTAACAGCTCTACCATGGGCAGGAATAGGCCCACTGCAAAGAACAGTTTGTGTGCATCTCTGCATGGAGCAAGAATTTGAAGTTGCATTGTACTTTCACATTATCCCCCGTCAGAAAGGCTTAACTGCTGATAGGAGATAAAGCTTCCTGAAGCCTCATACAGATCAGTGCATCATCCCTTTCTAAAGCAATGCAGCTTCTTTCTTGTTTCAAAGATTTCCTCATAACAGAGTCCTTGAAACATCGTCAGGCAGGCTCGCGCTGTGGAGCAGAAGAATAATTAATTGTGGGTGGCTCTATTTCTATTGAAGGCTGGATTATAGTTGAAAGAATGTTGCTGTCATTTCTCCCACTCTGAGCTGCAAGCACCACACACACCCCAGCACTCTGACTGCATTCCTTGCAGGGTTGTTCTATGTACCCAGGGAGGAAGAGCCTGCTGCTTTGGGCCTCACCTGGGTCTTCCTAGCCTCATGCACTTACTGTCAGTGCTGTTCTTGATGTACCAGATAGCAAAACACAGCAGCAGTGCTAATGATTTTAAAGGTGATGTGTGGCTGCAGTCATGGTGGTGGTTATTGGTTGCTGCACTAGGAATTCTTCGTTCACTCCAAAGGCAGCAGCTGCACTGAGGCCAGGCGGGCACTGGAGCTCTGCTGTTCCCATGAACTGGGTTGGGTCTGCGCTGTCTGCAAGATTTCCTTTCTGGGGTTTTCAGAGTTAGGAGTAACAAAGCCTGACCTTCTGAAAGCAGAACTGAGCACTCATCACTCCTTACATTTATGGAAGAAGGGCTCCATGATAACATTCCCACCCAGATTTCTCCCTAGATCAGAGCTATTCCTGAGCCATGAGCCAGAACTTGTTCTGGATCTGCACTGTGCAGTACTTTGGGTGCAGGGAAGGGGTTGACCTGCTGGATCTGACTCAGATCCATTCTATTTCATTTTATTTTTTGCCTGCCCCTTATTTACTTTCTTTGTACATGAACACTAATAGAGTTGTTGATGGTAACCCAACAAATCCAAACTCCACATAATTAAACCCAACAGCAAAACCCCATTCAACCACAGCAGCAACATAAAGGCACGACCCCTGTGATAATGGCAGTTCTCATCTGTGATGGTTAAATACCTTGTCTGACCTCTACTCTGATAACCACCAATGATCTTGATATTGTAAACAGGACAAACAAATTCTAAAGTCTTATCACAGTTCTCATTAGGAAATTCAGATTGGTTTGGCTTTTTTCTTTTTAATTTATGTATGTGTGTGGTTGTGTGGGAAAATATAAAGCTTTTTTGTATCAAATAACATCAATCCTTGCACACTCTATGCAAAATTTTGTAAGCATTGCAATAATGCTATGAATTACACAAGGAACTATTTTAACTTTATTACACTTTCTGTATAAAAAAAAAAACATTTGTATTTAAATGATTTCAACTGCAATCTTGTAAAATATATTAATAAAATAATGATTGTTAAGAAGGAAAGAGCTGTTGAGTCTTTTTGTTTGCTTGAGCATGACAAATATGAATTAGACCTCAGACATTCGTATGTCTGTACGGGTCTATATATATATCTGTAGGCCTTAAGTTGCTTCAGGGAAGGCTCATCTTGGATATTACCAGGAAAAATCTTTCTCTGAAAGAAGAAATGCATTGGAACAGGCTGCATATGGAAGTGCTGGAATTACCATCCCTGGAGGTTTTCAGGAAAAGGGTTGATATGATGTGGAGACATGGTTTAGTGGGCATGGTGAGAGTGTGTTGGTGGTTGGACTTGGTGATCTTAGTCAATGATGTGCCAGGCTGGGTCATAGCAGTGATCTCTCTCACAGCCTCAAGTCCCTGGATGCTTTCATTCCCCAAAAAAATGCTTTAGAGGTAGAAATGATGGGGAAAGTTGAGTTACCATCTTGAGTAGTAGACAGGTGCATCCACACAGGATCAAGCCCCTGCCTACACACAGCACGAGGAGCATAAGCTCAACTCGCCTGCAAAAGAACAATAAAAAAAACACAAAACCCACAGCACTGTGGACCAGTGTGCTGCTTTAACGATCCATCAGTTTTATTTTAATTGGATAACTAATCAGATGCTCATGGGAGACTCTGCACTTGCCATGCAATCACTTGTGAGCACATTTTGCAGGAGCTGGGTTTTAAATACGAAGTTGTTCAGCCTGGATTTTGTCGGTAAATGAGAGCATTGATTGAGGCTCATTAGCTGAACAAATAGCAAGAATTCAGTCCAGCTGAAAAGATGTGCATGCCTTCCAAGAGCAAGGAGCATGAGCCTGGTTATCACAGCTGAGACATTGCCAGGGTCAAGGCTGTAGGGCTCTGTGTTCACCAGTTTGTAGGAGCCAATTTTTACCAGGTTGCAAATGAGTTCACTCTGGAATGTTTGGTGAACATGCACAGCCCTTCTCTTGCTCTGCAGGTTTTGGACTGTTTGCAGTTTATAAGAAGAAGAACAACAAAAAAACCTCACAGACATCTTTCAGCTGAATTTCAGCTGCCATTCTTGGCCTGAGTTTGCAATGTCTGACAAACTGACAGCAAAATAATTCAGAAGTTAACCCCATTTTAAGCACCACACTGCCAGAGATGTCCCAGCAGCAGCAGGTGATGCAGCGCTGTGCCAGGGCAGGCAGTGGTTGCATCTTTCCTTGGGATCAACAAGCTCTCCTCAGCTGTCGGTAAAGGTGCTGTGATTTAAGCAGGAACTACTTACTTTTTAATTCAGCCCTACAAGCAGCAAAATCCACTCCCTCAGTAATTGTCAAAATGCAACTTTTTCCCAGATTTTTTGCCATTCAGCTTTTAAGAAGTATTTCCCCATTCTTCCTTTCTATCCTACAGGAAATTCATTGGTTTTTGTTTGTTTGTTTTTTTTTCCTCCTCAGTAACAGAAAAGATGAATTAAAAAAAAAAACAAATCAACAACTACAAAAGCAGAAAAGAATGACTGTGACCAAATTAACACATTCTATCCTCTGTAAAATGGTAACAACATCAATTTTAACATTTTATGTGCAGCTGAGTTTTTGTATTTCCCATCTCAGTCCATCCGGTGCAGCCAAGTTGCTGCTGCTGAAGTTCAGTTATTAAATCAGGGTGATTATTTTTATTTTTATGAACAGAAACCAGCAATGAGAAGTACTTATTTTAACAGGTTTTCTCCAGTGCTGTGACCTTGATTCTTCCATCCTCTAACTGAACAGAAAAAATCCTCTTGAATTTAGTGATGAAGGATCAGACCTAAATAGCTCCAGTGCCAAATGTATCCCACAGGAAAATTATACGGCCTCATTTAATAGAGAAAAAGCAAGAAGTGTGGCCGGCAGCTCAACCCTGGCTTTCTTCTGCAGTCAATCTATAGTCCAAAGCAGTGGAAACAATCTTCAAATATTTGATTCATGCTATCGGGCAACTGTAATAAACATTACTGATATGATCTGCACTTTTTAATGTCGGGGTGTGTGAATAGCCTCTCAATACTCCACGTCACCATACAACCAAGCTTGTGTAACACCAACTGGGCTGTTTTTCCCTTCACACCTACTGGGGCATTTTTCCCACCACTTTTGGGCTTCACTTGCAGCCTCAAAAGAAACATCACAAGCAGCCACACCACTGTCTCTTCGCTGAGGAATGCATGGACCCTCTGTGTGGCACTGTTCAGTGGCTGTACGGGGGGTGGGGAAAGCACAAAACAGCATTTAAATCCCTCAGGTAACCCCATTTGGCTCCGTTTGCTACTGCTGCTGCTGTTGCTGGGGGGGTAGACTCCTCTGGTGGCTGCTGTTTCCTCCACACCCTCCTCAACAGCCCAGTGCCCATGCCTGGCTGTAACCACAGTTATTGTCCATGACAGCACAGAATCGTAGAAGCATTTGAGTTGGAATGGACCTTTAGCGGCCATCTAGGCCAGTCCCCCTGCAGTGAACTGGGACACCACAGCTCCATCAGGTGCTCAGAATCCTGCCCAGCCTGACCTTGAATGCCTCCAGGGATGGAGCATCAGCCACCTCTCTGGGCAAGCAACCTGTGCCAGCATAAGCCCCAAGTAGACTGACAGACCTCAGTGCTGCTTTCAAACAATAAATTTGCTTTGCTTCCCTAAACTCTTCCTACAAGGTGAGCTTAGCTGCTGAATGCTCCAAGTCAGCCTTAGGATGCTCTGCTTAACTGAGGTGGGCTCTGACATGTTGAACACAGATCTGCTTTACCAGACTGGGGACATTTAATGAAATTTAATAAGAGGCAAGAAACTGTATACGCACATGTCAAAAAATGATGCTCTATCGCGGATGCAGTCAAGAAAATGTGGAGCGCTGCAGAGCAAGAAGTTTCCTAGGAGGAGCAAGGTAAGGCTGTGACACCACAGTGGCGCATGTGACATACGTGCATGGGCTCCAAGTTCTCTGATGGGGAAAAAATGAGGCCCCAGGGCTATAATAAGCAGTGTTAGAGCTGGCAATGGGCCTTGAAATAGGTGCTTTAATTTTAACTTGCCCCTTCCCCAAACATAACCTGACATAGTGTGCCATCCCAGCAGCAGCCAACGGCTAAACGCAGGATGAGAGCCTGAAAAACTTTTCATTACTTTCCAGCATCAGCAGGCCTAGCAATAGTAAGTGCCTGCTTAGGAAGGGTGTGTGCATAACTCATGCTTGCATGGGGTTGGGGAAGCCCATTTCAGACTGATACGTTATTTTTTTCTGTCAGTTCTAGCATTTGGGCATTTCAGTAAACCCCAATCTCAAAAGATTATTTTCTCTCCAACATAACTGCTCTGAACCATAATAACCAAATTTGAAAATGACTGTAATCTGCTATACAGAAGCTATCAGAAAAACAGTGATAGCAAAACCTTAGGTTCTGAATGCTGTTTGAGCTCTGCACACACACACACACATACAATGAACAAAGAGAAAAGAATGGAGAGAAGCCTGCTGCTTCCAAGAAAACCCACAGCCCACCACCTACACAATGAACTTTGAAGCACAGAATGCAGCATGCCATGAATTATTTATAAACTCATTTGCAATGAACGGTTTAGCAGGCAAAGGAAACAGGAACAGGTGGTGCAGCCCTGCCCAGGGCAAGGGTGTGATGGGAGCACTGTGTGTTCAGATGTTGCACAGTGCAGGTGATGAATTGCACCCTAAGAAGTTTGAGACAAAAACTTCAATTCCTAGCAAACTGCATCCTGAAGTACTAATACCCTTTCACCCCACTGCAATATTACATGTCATCACTCAGTGCCAGGACCAGCTCTCTTTGGCTGAAGCTCTCTCTGCGCTCTCCCCTTTCGGAGAATCCAAATCGCTAGGGGAGGAGCTTTGCTGCGGCAGAGGGGAAAGCCTTGCTCCAAGGATGGGTTAATGAGCCCTGGGATCCTCTGCTGCTGCCCTCAGAAGAATATTGTCATCCCTACTTTACATGAAGACTGCAAGGAGGACTTTAAGATAAGCATTAAAAGGTGCAGGAATGCAGACGGCAGGCATAAGCAAAGGCATTCAATAAGTTACAATGAATTATTTGCAATTAGAAAACACTTATAAGCTGCTAAATTCCATTAACATTGCATGGCTCATATAAAATGACCCCTAATTGCATATTAAAGAAGGACCTGTCTTCACATGTTTTCATCTCACTGTATCAAAAACAATTAGGTGAGGAGCACATTGCCCACACCAGCCCATCATGTAGCAGACAGCAGGCTGACAGCTGTAATGCAGTCTTTCCTTGCTTTAGGAAAGACTAAAAAGAGATCAGAAATGTCAAATTCGCCTCCTATCATCCCAAATAAATGGATAATTAGCAATCGCAGAGTCCATCTCACCCAAGAAGTCCCATACTACCCCTCAGACCACTTCCAGCCAACCACAGGAGCACAGGTAGGTGGGCACCTATGCTGAACCAAATAGGTAAAAGCCAACATGGCAATGCCTGGAGTACAAATCCAGAAACACTATGGTATATCCAGATGGAATTGCTCTTTGCCTGCATGATTTGGGCCGAATGTGGACTTGAACATGCTCCCTACAGGATCTGTCCACAGAGTGACCCTTACACTGCCCCAGCCCATTCGGGTCTGTTCTGTGTTGAGATGGTTGTATGTGACTCTCTGGTAAAATACATGGTTGTTAACAATTGGAAAAGTGGCCAATTCCAAGTGATACTTGCTGAAAAGCAAAATTCATCAGGCAGTGATTTCTCACCTTGGATTTTTCTCTGCTCCTCAGGATTTCTTACTGTTGGGATTCAGCACATGTGTGAGAAATTGAACGTGGCTGCAGCACTCTAGTGATAACTGCCCTGGCCTTCCTCATTCACTATGTTTCTTACACTAAACACAAAATCTGAAACATAGCATGGGAAATTCAGTCATCTTCCACCAAAACAGCAGAAAGTCCTTGCTGGGCAGAGAGCAGGTGAATG